CCGCCGGCTCCCGCTGCGTGAACAGGTAGAGGCGCTGCTTGCCGTACGCGCAGCACAGCAGCGTGGGGTCGGGCTGCGACACAGGAGGGTGTGGGCGTGGTGGTGGCGGTGGGTGGGGGGTGGGTGGGTGCGACACACAGAAACTTTAGGGGTGTGGGAAGGGTAGCGGCCGCTGCTTTGCTGCTTGTCGGCAAGGCGGTCAAACAGTCAAACGTGGCAAGCAGTCGATCCAGTCCCCAGAGGCACGCAGGGCCGCCAGCCCCACCTGCGGCAGCTTGGTGTCCGGCCCCACCGGGAGGCGCTTGGACTTCCTGGGGATGCCCTGCGGAGAAACAAAGGCAGTATCTTTTCGCAGCGAGGGGGTGGCGCTTGCTTGCGTTGTTGCCGCGCCTCGAGGCAGTGTGTGGTGTGGTGGGGTGATGTGGGAGAGGGGGTGTGCATCTGGTACTGCATCCATGGTGCTGAGCCGCTGCCCACTGGTACTGCCGGCCCACCTGGTACAGCGCGATGGACAGGAAGCGCTCCGTGCTTTCCACCTTGCCGATGATGCGCACCACGCGGCTGGTCACCAGGTTGATCACCTGTTAGGTGCACAGCGGGCACAGCGGGCATGTCAGGCACAGCATGGGAGGACGAGATCCCAGCAGGGACGAGACAGCGGCGACGAAGCACGCGGCGGAAGGCAAGCGGGCCAGGGCAGGACAGGGCCGGGCGGGGGCAAACAGCAGGACGGCATGCAGCGGGCGCAGCAGCAGCAGCTTCCCGGGGCGGGAGGGAAGTCCGGAGGGCAGTTCGGCAAAGGCGGGAGGGATGCACACATCAAACAGGGGGGACAGTGTGGGAGGAAGGCATGGGAGGAAGGCGTGGGAGGAAAGCGCGGGCCCACCTTGATGCCCAGCAGCGTGGCGTACAGCAGGAAGTTGCCCGACTCGTCAAAGACGGCGTTGGACTTGGGGGCCTCTGGGGGAGGAAAGCGCGGGAGGAAAGCGCGGGAGGAGGCACGCGCGGGGACGCGCAGCGCAGGGAGGCGGCCGTGAGAGACGGCGGCGGCATGAGGCAGGGGGTCGGGGCTGGAGTGCCTGTACACGCACACCCGCACCCACACCCACACCCACAGCCATGGACATGCGCTGCATTTGTGGCGGGTGTGCGCGGGCAGGTGGCAGCTGCCTGGAAGCTAGGCGGGGGCCCGCACCTGGATCTGCCGCCAGCTCCTTCTCCACCGCCACCCGCCGCCCGTAGTCGATGGGATCCAGGCGGTACAACTCTGCGGTACATGCGACAGTACACATGGCCGCACAAGTGGCGTTACGAAACGGCGGCACACCCACACACCGCTGCAGGCAGCCACCCCAAAGCCGCTCACACCTCTCTCTCTATACACACACACACACACACACACAAGATGCCTCTCTACACACGCTCACACAAGGCGCCCCGCCGCCCCACCTGACTGGCTGCGCTGCAGCTCGTTGGTCGCCTGCAGGCTCTCGTCATACGTGCGGCTCAGCTTGCCGGTGGCAAACCGGAACACACGCACCTTCCTGCGGGGCGGGGCGACCGAACACATGGACTGAGCTGTGAATGGCAGACCCCGACTGAGGAGCTGAGGCACACCTACCAGAAGAAGAACACATCGCGGAGTGCACCGTGCCATGCCTCGCTGGATGGCGAGAGTCGGAACCAAGGCAAGCAGGCGACAGGGGCTGCTTGGGCACGGATCGCGCTGCAAGCAAATCACCTCCACCCCCCCCCCCCCCCCCCCA